ATATATTTTTTAAATATTTAAAATACCTAAAATATTACACCCAAACTTGTAGGCATAGAAATTGGATATCCGGAAAAACCGAAATATATATCCGCAATTCCGGAAAGGGCTTATCCCTGTATTCGGATCCTATATTATTATATGATAAAGCTTATTACTAAACCAATCTTCTTTTAATTAATAATCCAGCAGAAACTTGTTTATAAAAAAACGATAAAGGAATATATCGATATACTTTATAGCTAACAAGTTCAACATATATATTTCAGCATACATCCAATCCATATTTATACTAATTTTATAAAACGTTCGGAATACATTTTGCCTTAACTTTGCGTAAAATTATTAGTTTTATTTTATTAATTTTTGTATAGATCAGGTTAATAAAAAAAGCAATTGCATTTTGCTCAATATTTTTGAAGTAATTATTCAGCTTTAATAAAATTGATAAAACCATATAAGACAGTGAAAAAATATATTTAAACCTTTGTTCACTTTTTGAAAATCCGTAAAAAAGCAAGTCTTAAATTTACATATCTTTAAAAGAAATTTATTTACATGATATATAGTTAAATATGTAACAAAAATATTTTAAAACAGAAGCATATATAAAACACATTTTTCTAAAAAAAACAATTAAAGTTGAAGCCACCATTTACAGCACCGAGGAGCCAAGCATAGCCTATTGTAAAGACAACCATATTAAATAATTAAAAATATTTATTACCAATAGGGACGACAACTAAACATATTTAAAAAGCTACGTGATTCCATATTAGTAGGATTGTTATAGAAAAGTAAATTAGTAAAAGCATATTAAAAAAGTATATTAAAAAAAGTATATTAAATAGAAAACAGATTTTTAAAAACTACCTAATTTTGTAAGCATTTTGGCAATGGTGTTCAATTTTGAAATCAATATATTTAATGGAAAGCCGACTTGTTTAACTAATCTCATTCAAAGGAACAAAATTATTAACACTTAAAGATAAAGAAAAAAAATGAATGAGATATACACAATCCTACTATAGTATTATATAGATAAGTAGATATATATTTAAAAAACAAAACTGGAAAACAATCTACCTGCTTTTGGTACCCTATTGTGATGCTGCAGCAGTTGCTGTAGGGATGCAGCAGTTCTTGTCGGTGTTGTTCAAAAAATTATTTTTTAACTCAATAACTTGAACATGCGTTACAACTTTGCCTAATACACCATGTTTAAATATATCATTGAGGAGGTTATTTAACTTGAGTTTATATACTCGAGTAAGCAAATCAGGTCTATCATTCGTATTCTGACCCGGATACAAATTTTCTGTTTTCATACCATTTTGGGTTTCAAGTAAAAGTTTCACGCCATTTTGGGTTTCAAGTAAAAGTAATAAAAAGATCTGGTTTACCATACTTTTTAATAATTGCCATAGCATCTTCAAAGTTTTCTTTTAAAGCTCTAGGACTTCCTACATAAGATGATGGCAAAACTACTACTCGTCCCGGTCTAATATTACGATCATTCGCAATGTTGTTAATATGTTCATGTAAGGCATCATACTGCTCGCTTCTCAGCTTATTTTGATTATTTCTGATAAAAGCAAGACGCTGGCCTTTATTTTTTACATATGCATCTACAGCATATTGCTGAAATAGTTTCTTGCCATAAAATAATGAACAGAAAAATTGCCTAACAGAAAGTCTATAATTGTAGAACTGAGATAATGTAACATGATTTCTAACCAGTGTGGCACGCTCAGGGTTATGCACCAACTGATTATGCCAACCAGCATCACTTCTTGGTGAATAGCGGATAAACCATAGGATCCAAGTTGGCTGACATACTTGATACAATTTTTAAAGGATGACCTCTTGGGTAAATAACAACTTCCCTGGAAGTTGGGGGAGCACCATCTCCGCCAACAAATACAACTGCAACTTCATCATGTGAAGGTAGATTATAACGACATCTATCACCGCTTTCAAGTAAAGACATTTTTACAACAGAAGCTGAGCGACCTTCTATAGCCGCCTTACGAATTTCTTCATCTTCTACTTCAGCCATGTTTTTAAATGCAAGAGCAAATGGACTTAGTTTCATAATTATAGTTTGCAATTGAAACATTAAATCACCTAAACAAAGATCATTACCACGTTGCTGCATTCTAAAATTTAGTGCAGCAAGTGGATCATAAATATATAGTTGAGAATATATTGGTGGAATATCTTGATCTGGCCTAAGATTACCTACACGATGAAAAATCTGGCCACATATTTTAAAACATGGAAGCCCATGATTCATTGGTTGAACTACATTTGCTGTAAAAGAAGCAAAAGAAAGGCAGGCATTATAATTTTGAATATGTTTTAAAAAATTAGCATTAGCATTACGATCTACATAACTCCCTGTAAACAAATCCTGTAAAGCTTGTGTAATTGGTGAAAGTGGAGGCAAAGCTACCTTACCATTATGGCAACATAGAAAATGTGTTTCATCTGGAAATTTCTTAGCACCACAGTGCTGACAAATTTGATTCATTTCTCCTAAATAATTATAATCTGGAAAAGCATTACTTCTCGCTATAGAATACATTCGTCCTTGTCCAACAGCTCTTCTTTCATTTTGGCGACGATTAACATTATCTCGATCTAGCCTATTTCTTTTATTTTGGCGATGATTAACATTATCTCGATCGAGCCTATTTCTTTCATTTTGGCGATGATTAACATTATCTCGATCGAGCCTATTTCTTTCATTTTGGCGACGATTAACATTATCTCGATCGAGCCTATTTCTTTCATTTTGGCGACGATTAACATCATCTCAATCGAGCCTATAACTTTCATTTTGGCGATGACTAACGTTATCTCAATTAAGCCTATTTCTTTCATTTTGTAAACGATTAGTTTCATCTCGCCTAAGTCTATTTCTTTCATTTCGTCTGCGATTATTTTCAACACGCCTTATAGCACTTCATCATCTTGTTAATACATAACTCCATCTAGCCTATCATCTATTTCAATGTCATTATTTTCATTAAACATATTTATTAAAGCTTTCTTTTTTTAATTTCTTTTTTTAAATACTAATCTTAAGTTAACAATAAAATAAAAAAACTTAATAACTAAAAAAATCATACTCGAAAAATTAAAAAAAAAATTCACAAAACAAATATATATATAAAAACCAAACAAATGCAAAATAAAATTAATTTGCCATCATCAAAAGTAATACAGGTTTCTTAAGTTTATTTGATAGAAGTTAAGAAAAACCTGCAAACACATCAGCAAAAACTTATTAAAAAAAGTTAAAATTTATTTTATTTCTAATAGAAAAAAAAAAAAAAATTGCGACAGCGTCGTAATTCATGCGTTGGGAGAAAACATTGAACAAAACACGTAATAAAACTTATAATGCATTATGTAAAAACAGGTTATTAACGCGGGTTTATAAATTTTTTTCTCCTAACAGACTATTATGCTGCCGCAACTCCAAGGGTATATATATAGTTATATATATATATATATATATATATATATATATATATATATATATATATATAATATATATATATATATATATATATATATATATATATATATATATATATATATATATATATATATATATATATATATATATAGAACATATATATATAGAACATATATATATATATATATATAGAACATATATATATATATTTATATAGAACATATATATTATATATATAAACCTCTACAATTTCTTTGGTTCAACAACTCGATTATGATTAATAACAACTCTGTAAACATGAATTTTCTAATAATTTAAATCTTAATAAATTATAAACAATTAATTACTTATTTAAACAAATAATTACTTATTAAATTTTAAAAAGATTTTATATATACTTAATGTCTACTTAGACATTGAAATACTTAATGTCTATTTAGACATTGAAAAGATCTACAATTTTGAAAACCTGAAACTTTAAATCTACCTCAAAGAAAACAAATATATATTGAAAAGTATTTTTATTTCTTTTTAAAAATTTAAAAATGCTTTTTAACTTACTCCCTCCAATATTATTATATAATTTATAGTATATATTGATAAATAAACCTCTACAATTTCCTTGGTTTAACAACTTAATTATGATTAAATAACAACTCTATAAACATGAATTTTCTAATCATCTAAATAAATTATAAACAATTAAACTTAAATAAAAATGTATGCAAATGATAAATGCTATATTAAGTACAGAAAAACAAACATATAATAACACAATTAAATCCTAAACCAAAATTCATTAATGCAAGACAAATTATTATATATTTATTGAAAAGCCAGAAACATATTTTTTTTCAAAGAGCCAAAGTATTAACAATACTATAGATAAATTTTATTTATAACAAAATATTGTCATGGCTTTTATTCCAATTATTAAAAGCATGTGAAAGCATGAAACTACCCATAAATATCTTTTAACGGTAGACACCATAGTAATATCTATATTTTCAATATCTATAACACGAAGCTTTAAATTTAAAAGTACGATTTAAAAGAGATTACAATAAATTAATTACTTATAAAATTTTAAAAAGATTTTATATTACCTATAAATTTAAGCTACAAAACATTATCTACTTAGACATTTTGAACTCGTGCCATAAAAAGGTTGCGACTTCTTTAAGAAAGCTCGCGGTTAAGAAAAGTCAAGAAACTACTTAAAAAGTGTATTTTACAAAATTCAAAACCGTACCGTAACTATAAAACAATAGGCGTAACTATGCGCACTAATAATAATAATAATAATAAAATTCACTACGCAAATTATATTAAGATTGTAATGATTTATGTAATATTGTAATAATTTATGTAATTATGTAACTTTTAAGTGGCAATACTGGTTTTTACTAATCTTACCGGTTGTTGCCATTGTTACTGGTTGTTACTAATGTAACTGGTTGTTTTCATTTTTATACTGGATACAAAAGCTAAACCTGTTATATATTTTTTTTAGTGATCCCATAGGAAACGCGTACTTAAAGTTTCTTAATGAAGGACTTGAGAGATCCGTAAACAGTGTTTTATAATAGCAGGTTCAGAGCATAAACTTTTAATGTCTTGTTGTTAGATGTTTTACTTTAATATTTATCTTTAATATTTAACGATACATTTTAAAGTTTCATTAGTTGTTTCATATTTCAAATAGAAGATGTTTAAGCTGGGAAAAGTTATGAATGTTATTGACTCTGGCAGAAAGGAGAATGTCGGACGATATTAACATTAGAAAAACATAGAAATATTAAGTTTTTAAAAATCTAGTCTTTTTAGTTAACGAATTTTATTGTTATTTTCAAATAATATTATTGTTCTTTTTTTGAAAAATAATGAAACAGTTAATGGAACTTTATAATTCGGATTTTTTTTATGTAATTTTTTTAATTCAATATTTGCTTATATTATAAGAGTAATTTGTTTTATATCATTTAATATTAGTCTGTTGTTCACTGCTAAATTCTAATAAAGTATTGAGGCCTCAAATTCGGCAATCATTTTCAGTACAGTCTTAATTTTTTTAGGTAACCTGGCTTATATATATATATATATATTTTTTTTAATATGTTTTAATGATGATTTTCACGGCACGTGTTTTCACTTGTGATAATCGGATGCGTTTACATATAAACTTTACAATTTTTTATTTGTATGTTGTTAATAATGAATATTATTTATATATCAAAAGTATGATGTGTAGTTTTCAGCTTCAAAGCATTTGATTATATATGATTAGATGTGTGATCTTTTTTTCGCATTTTGTTTATTTCACTCAGTGTAGTTTAGGTAGTTTTAAAATATTATAGCGTCTGAATGATATTTTGTTGACTACGACATATTTTCGTTAAATGATCCGGCCTGTGAATTATGAAAAAACGAAAAAAAATTAAAATTATCAATTTTGCGGTATCATAAAATATAAATGTTTGTAGCAAAAAAACCCACACCGAAGGTTCTTTTTTTTAAAGGAAAAATTATCATAAAATCACAATCGCTGGTCCAAATTTAAATGAGATTTTAAATAAATACGTTTTTTAGGTGAAATGAACATCATAGTTTAATTATATGATCTGTTCTGATCGTTTAATGGCAATTTTTTATGAAATTTAATAGAAATATTGTATTTGACAACTACATATAGCTAATATACGTTAGAACCGATTAGAACTAGGATCTATAGTGGGTTAAGGCACTTTTTCAAAAGTTCATGTTAACGCCGATGAGCGAAATTGATCTAAAGACTCCAAAATTTTTTTGTGCAGGCTATTTTACTATAAATTTAACTGTAAAATGGATTTTTTTAAAATGAAATGAATAGCATATTTTTGAAAAAGAAATAAGCTCTGGGAGATCAAAGACTTTTTTAAAAAAAAGTTGAAGCAACAACCAAAAAGGATTTAGCGTAGCGGATTTTGATTGTTCAATTTAAAAAAAAAAAACGCGTGTCAATAGTATAAAAATAATTAAAGCGTATCAACAGTAAAATATAATTTACGTGTATTAACTTTTTATGGTCTCTATAAGATTCAAGCACAACTCAATTTAGTTTAACTCTTTTTGTATTATAGTTTCAAAGTTATAGCTTTTAGTTTTCTCGTGAAAAATAAATATACAATCATAAACAAAAGTTGATTGCTGTCTTTCCAACGTAATTAGGAACAAAGAACATTTGTACAAAATTTTCAATCTTATAAATTTCAAGAAACCAAAAATCAATCACGTATAATGGTTATCGATTTGTTGACACAGTCAACAAATTTCTATATGTATTTGACACAGTCAAATACATACATATAGAAAAATATATATACAAAAAATCACATTATTGCCATTCGGAAAAAAATTTTAAATTTTGTTTTATTTTTGCTATAAAAGGGATATTTTACTTTATATATATATATATATGCATATATATATATATATATATATATATATATATATATATATATATATATATATATATATATATATATATATATATATATTTATTAGGGATGTACCGAAGCTTCGGCTTCGGCAGTTTTGCCAAAGCTTCGACTCGGCCGAAGCCAGGTCAATTTTTTGCCGAATCTTTGGCTTCGGCAAAAAATTTTAAGTAATTAAAGCTCTAAGCTACCGTTGGACAAGTTATAAAAATACGCTAATTGCCAGTGTCTAATTAAGTTATAAATTCAAGACTACAGAGTTAAAGTTGGAGTCTATACCATATACTTAGTATTTACTCCCAAGTGTTTTGTTATGGAGGGGATAATAATAAATAAGTAAAAATATTTTGAAAATAATAATAAAATTAGGGAAGGTCCTCACACATACAAAAGAAATGGCGGCGTAAAGATGGCAGCCTAGTTGAGCACGTGTTTTGAAATAATTTTTAATAATGGTAGTATGAAAAGATACAACTCAAGCAATTAATACTGCTATTGAGGTACTTAGAAAGGAATTAATCGAACGCATTATTAAAGTCGAGAAAGAAAATGAAAGATTAAATACCGAAAATGAAAGTTTAAAAAAACAGTTAGCCGAACAATGCAATCAAAATAACAACAAACCACTCTTTAGTAGTCTTATTAAGAAAACTAGCGAAGGAGCACCCCCTATTAGTGATTCAGAAACGAGATTATTAAATGCAATTTCAGCTGAACAAAAAGAAAAGATCAAAAAAGAAAAAAATGTACTAGTGTTTGGATTAAAAGAATCGAAACGAAAAAGCAAAGATGAAATTAAAGAAGATTATGATGAAAGTGTTGGAGAAGTATTTGACGCTATTGGATTAGATAAATCTTGTATTGTCAAACATTTCAGGTTAAACAGTAGAGACAAAAATAGACCAGGACCACTAGTTATTGAACTAGTTGACCCATCATTCCAGAAACAAGTTTTAAGTGTTGCTTGAGATTTAAATAAAATTGAGGCATATAAAAATAAAGTATTTATCAATCCAGATCTAACGTATAGACAAAGAGCTAGTCTTAAATTGCTACTTGGTGAAAGAAATAGTCTGAATAAAATAGAGGAAGGTAAAAGTTCGACATTTCGATTTGTTATCAGAAACGATATGCTGCAGAAAATTGAAATCAAAAAACACTAAAAAGATTAATGCACCATCAAGTTTAATATCAAAACTCAACGAAATAACGTGCTTATACATGAACGCAACTTCATTAAACAATAAGTTTGACGAACTAATTTAAGTGATTAACTCTAACAAAGCTAATGTAGTTATGATTTGTGAAACTTGGTGGAACAATGAGTCAGAAACTAATATCAATGGATACACCTTATTTAGAAGAGACAGAGGCGTTGGTAGAGGTAGAGGAGTTTGTATATATGTACAAAACAATATAAAAGCGTATGAAGTTTCAGAAAAATGTTTAAATGACCCTAATATAGAACAGATTTGGTGTGTTATTGAATTAGGAAGTGAAAAAGTATTATGTGGCAGTATGTACAGAACCGGAATTAGTAACATAAATAACTGTATCAACATCACAAAGTCTATTAAATTAACTCATTCAATGAATTTGTTAAATAAATATACTGGAATCCTTATTTGTGGGGATTTTAATTTCCACGCAATCAAGTGGACAGAAGATTACTATGGCACACTAACTAGTGAGACTGATACACCAGCCAAAATTTTCTTAGAATGTTTAAGCAATTGCTTCATGCATCAGAATGTGATTAAAACAACATTTTAAAATAACATTGAGAATGAAACGAATGTACTGGATTTGATTATAGCTGAGAATAAAAATAGAGTTTATAAACTGGTACACCTTCCACCATTGGGAGGTATTAATCACGGCCATCACATTATTAAATTTAACTACAGTCATGAAGAGTGTATTGACAACATTGTACTTATAAAAGAAAAATTTAATTTTAATCGAGGGAAATTTGATGAATTAAATAATTATTTTAAAATCTTAAACAGGGACAATGAATTCAAAGGTTTAGAAATAAACAAATGTTACAAAAAATAGTTAAGCCTTTATGAAGAAGGATGTAAACTCTTTATTCCAATCATAAAACCGGGAAGCATTCAAATCAACACAAAACCTCTCTGGATTAATAGAGAATTGAAAGCGCTGTCAAAAGAAAAAAGAAACGTTTGGTTCGAATGTCGAAGACAGAAATTCAGAGACTATTGTTTACTTGCAAAATACAAAGGGTTAAACAAGGTTTTAAAAAAAAAAGTGAATCAAATTAATTAAAAATTTTGAATATGATCTTGCTTTAAATTCAAAGTTTAACCCCAAGAAAGTTTATTCATTTATTAACAATAAAAGTAAAGTCAAAGACAATATAAGAGCAATCCAACTAAAAAACGGTAGCATCGAAACTGATTTAAAAGTAATTACAAATACATTGAATGGGTATTTTGCATCAGTATTCAATAAACCACAAACTTTATCTGCTCCAATAATAGATATAGAAACACAAAAAATCTGTAAAAATCCAGATTTTAATGCCTCTGTTGTTCAAAAATACTTAAACAAACTGGACACTAATAAAGCAACTGGAATGGACAGAGTTCATTCAAAAGTTCTAAAAAAGTGCAAATCTACTTTAGCCAAACCAATATCGTTATTGTTTAATAAATCATTTGAAACGGGTAAACTTCCAAAATTATGGTTGTGTGCAAATATCGTCCCACTGTTTAAAAATGGTGACAAGTTGAACCCATGCAACTATAGACCTGTATCTTTAACATCTGTAGTTTGTAAAGTCATGGAAAAATAATTAAAGATAAAATGATGAAACATTTAGTAGAAAATAAATTAATCAATAAAAACCAACATGGATTTGTAAATAATAAAAGTTGTGTGATCTACTTATAGGAATCTCTAGATTTTATCACAAGTTCAATTGATAATGGTTTGGATGTAATAGTTTTGTTTCTGGACTTAGCCAAAGCGTTTGATTCAGTTGATCACGAAAGATTATTGTTAAAATTGAATGCTCTTGGTTTTAAATCCAAGCTATTTGACTGGTGCCAGGGATTTTTGAAGAACAGACTTCAAAGGGTGGTGATAGGAAATAATAAATCAGAATGGGAAGAGGTCGTGAGTGGAGTACCACAAAGATCAGTGCTAGGACCACTATTATTTGTAGTGTATATTAATGATATCTCCAACAAAATAAAATCAAGCTGTAAACTATTTCCTGACGACATGAAAATCCTTAGAGCAATAAAAAACGATAATGATGTTATTAAACTTCAACAAGATATAGACTTATTAATGAAATGGTCGAATGAGTGGTTGATGAAATTCAACCAGCAAAAATGTAAAGTTATGATAATAGGAAATAGCCAGCACAAAGTTTTAATGAATAATACAGCTTTAGCTCACACAAGCATGGAAAAGAATTTAGGAGTGTACATTTCAGATGATTTGGAATGGAAACACAATGTAAATAAAGCAGTAAATAAAGCAAATCAAAAGCTAGGTCAGATCAAACACACTTTTAAATATTTAGACGAAAAAACAATGAAACTTTTGTTTATAGCCTTAGTACGTCCACATTTGGAATACGCAGCTCCTATCTGGAATCATTATCGTCAGTATAATAAAGATAAACTAGAGTGTGTCCAACAAAGAGCTTCTAGAATTAAAATTTTGAAAGGATACAGTTATGAAGAGAGGTTAAAGAAGTTGGATTTACTATCGTTGGAGAACAGAAGAAGAAGGGGTGATTTGATACAAATGTTCAAATATTTGAAAGAGTACGATATTATAAATTTTTACTCA